AAGAACCCAGAGACTCCAATACCTCTTAGTTAAGGAATATACCTTAATAAATTATAGTAGGATCCCAAATATGATTTAAGGAATATTCCTTAATTAAGGGTTATTGGAGTGTCTGGGAAGTTGGTTGTTTGATGAATTGATGGGGTGCGGGGATTGGGGTTTAGGGTGTAATACAGGGCCTTCATAACTACCTATACTAGTTTGGTCTAATTTCACCATTACGGCCCCTACAGTAGGGTTATGTAAGGAGCCTACAAAAACACCAAAGCTCTCTATTCTACTGACTCGGGCCTCTCTGTTCGTAATTAATTGCTTCCCGGCTTGACCGTCTTTCCCGTCTCGAGCCCTAAACCCTCTCCGGAAAACCTCACGGACCCTAAAGCCTAAACCCGAAGCTAGTTTTGGCTTCGTGGCCTAGGGTTTACAGCTTAGGGCCTTTCTTAGCGTAGTCCGGGTTTGCCCACCAAGCTGCTCATATACTGTTACTTATGAGTCAATGAACAAGCAGTCAGATACCTCCTACAGAACCTGACGGGTCCCAAGTACGTAATTATACCCGATTATTACCCAAATCATAATAGTAAGCCCTATTCCAGAAACCCTTTGTGCGAGGACGGTGCTTTGTTTTTCGAGGCTGCCCCTAGAGCTGAGGATGGTGTGGGGTTTGTAGGGTTTACATTTAGGGTTCAGGGTTTAGTAGGGTTCATAGTATCCGCTTGAGGAGCCCATCTCAGTTTGGGAGATAATATAGCCAAAACCCTAAACCCTAAAACCCTAAAACCCTAAAACCCTAAACCCTAAACCCTAAACCGTTTTAAGATAGCTTCTTTTGCCAAGGACGCAGCTATCCGTCTTTCCATCATGCTGGTAAGACAAGAGCAGGAAGCCCAACGCCTGATGGCGCGTCGCCTCGGCCGTCCGAACCCTAAACCCCTAAACCCCTAAACCCCTAAAACCCTAAAACCCTAAACCCTTAAACCCTACACCCTAAACCCCTAAACCCCTAAACCCTAAACCCCAAAACCTAAACCCTTGCAGCCATGGCCAAGTCGGGAACAAGGGCAAGAAGGCACAGCACGCGGCCGAGAGGAAAGCGATGCAGGAACTCAAGGAGAAGGAGCAGATGAAAGCAGCGGCGCGGCTGCAACAGCAGGAGAGCCAAAGACAGATTTTGAGCCAATTGATGGCGTACTTCGAAAGCCATCCCAGCAAAGCCAGCTTTATGTTGGCCAACCTGAAGCCCCAAATTCCTAAATCCTGTTCGAATCATCAAGGCACCTATCATGCAGCCTCATATGTAAGAACTCTCAACTTCCAGAAGTCATGACAGGACCGTGCCGGGGAGCCCTTAAAGGAACCCTATTCCAATCGCTGGGGCCCCCGTCCTAGGCCTCTTTTGAATGAAGAGCCGCAAGGCCTAGAACCCAAAACCCTAGAACACCCGAACCCCTCAGATTTAGCAGGGCTTCTTAACCATAAGGACCCTAACACCCTAGAATCCCAAATCCTGAAGCCCTGAACCGCATGAACACCTAACGACACTCACAACCATAAAGCCATAAGAACCCTAAACCCTAGAATTCCAAACTCTGAAACCCTAAGCCACATGAAACCCTAACAAGAGATCCTGAAACCTAGAGCCCAAAGCACGAGTGATCTGTCGCAGGTCGTGTGCGTTCCCATGCTCTCCGTGCTGAATGCGGCGGACTTGGGAGTTCGGGGTTTGGAACGTAGATGTTTTAGGGTTCAGGGCTTCGGGTTTAGGGTTTTAGGGTTTAGGGTTTAGGGCCAAGTTTAGGGTTTGGGGTTAAGGCTTAGGGTTTGGGGTTTAGGGTTGAGGGTTATTATAGGGTTTTAAATTTTGGGTTTTAGGGTTTAGCATTTAGTTAAAGTTACTTGTCCACTATCCCAGGGGATCTAAAGTTCAAATTTAAGGATTATCTAGGCATTGCAGTACCCCATGAAGGTAGAAGGTTGCTTACTCTACTACGAAGCCAAGGAGTCCGATAGATTTTGTGGTCAGATGATTTAATGTCTTATGGCTCTTAGGGCTTCCAAAATCAGGATTTATGTAGGTTGTAGGCTTTAGCGATGAGGAGAAGTTAAGGCAGAACTCTAAGAAACCTTTAAACTTTAAACCAGTGCCCCAGACCCCAACAAGCCCTAAGCCCTACAGAAAAATAGGGGTGACCCCTTACTTCTGGGTACCCTGAAGCAGCTGGAGCCACAGGTGAATTATCGAACACGCAGCCATAAACCGTAATCCTAAAGCCTAAACCCTAAACCCTAAGCCTAAACCCTAAACCCTGGACCCTAATCCATTTGAAGGACCTATGCCTCCGGGAACCATGGTAAGGAACCCTAAGC